AGAGAGAGAGAGAGAGAGAGAGAGAGAGAGAGAGAGAGAGAGAGAGAGAGAGTTTTCCAAGACATAGGTTACAATCTGATCCTAGGAGCCAGGTTTTCCTATGTCTCACCCTGGAATACAGGTTGCCCACAGTCTGATCCTGGAACACAGGCCCACAGTCTGATCCTGGAACACAGGTTTCCCACTGACTGATCCTGGAATACAGGCTGCCTGCAGTCTGATCAAAGAACTGGCATGATCCTGGAACACAAAGGTTTCCAACAGGCTGAACCTGGAACACAGGTTGCCTGCAGTCCGGTCAAAGAACTGACCTGATCCTGGAGCACAGGTTTCCCACAGACTGATCCTGGAGTACAGGTTGCTTGCAGTCTGATCAAAGAACTGGCATGCAAACTGATCCTGGATGACAACTGTTCCTATACGGACAACGGACTCCACTTGCCCAATTATCTGGCCGAACTGATGGGAGTAGATGTTCCACTGCGAGGATACCGGATTGCCCAACGTCTGGTGCTGGAGCCATACTGTGCACAACAATTGTCGCAGAAGGCTTCCAGTTGTCGATATAGGTGACCCACTGTGGGACCATGATTGTCTGGAGAACTGGAAGTCCATCCCACTTGTACTCCTTGGCAAGATAAAAGGACTGGCAAGAAAAAGGACATTCCATAGGACAGGAGAGGATATGGAAAAGAGAATTATGTGCAGCTAGGCAGCGATCGTTGGACGTAATCCCCATGCTATGGGCTGCCAGCTGTAGTATCTCCAGCGCAATTGATGATTGTTATGGCCCAGTAGTAACCGGTAATGTTTGACCAATGACAGTCTAGCCGTTCCTCCCTCCCTCCCTCACCCCAGCCCTGCCTGCCCCGGTTCTTGCGAGATCCTCGAGCATGGGGAACAGTGTCACGTGGTTCAGATGGACAGACATGCATCATGCCTGAACTGAACTGCGCAGGTTGATCGAAACACACGAGCAGATTGACGGACATGCATCGTGTCTGATGTTACTGATGGCAAGTAGAGCATGTCGATACGAACGTGTTGAATGTTAAATGGACATGTCGACAAGAACGTGTTAAATGTAGATGTCGAGTGAACGTATTGAAATATGCTTTTGACATGTGTCAGTTGCAGAGTTAGAGGAGGTTAAGCCTGTGCGTTAACCGTGCGCCAATCCTGCTGGTAGATGAAGCCGGGAGGGCGGCTGGCGCTGTGTGGTCGACGCTTGATCTATGGGCTCTTACAAGAGCTTGCACAATGAACGGGCGGCGCCATGCACATGAGATGTCTGAACGTAACAGTGATGACACTGCTAAGTGACTGCTTTCCATTTGCAATGGCTTAGGGAATGATCTCAGAGGACCCGAGAAAAGCTTTCGAGTAGACTGCGGCCAGATTCACTCTTGGATTTTTCCTGGATGCACCTGGCCGGAATGGTGACCAGATTCGGTGGAAAAAATGCGCTGAGTCAAACATGCGAATGGCGGAGACAACCTGTTTATTTCAGCTGCCCGGGCCTGCCCCATAAAAAAAGAAAAAATGGAAAGTGGTGATTGGTCATGATGAGGCAGTGGCAGAGGCAAAGTAAACCTCTTGCCCAAAGTTACTTCGCATGTCTGGACACTTGGGGTTGGTTACATACCACGTCCATCCTTCCATCGAGTCAATCCCGACTGAAACTGTAAATGGGGGCCCCTTTTTTAGATCATTTTTTTCATAACTACTTTCCTGCGCCTTCTACTGGAACCCAGTGTAGCTGCCGTGTTTCCAAACTGACAAACAAAATCCAAATCAGCGTGGCTGTGACTACCTATGAAAATTGTTCATTTTCCTTCTCTCGTTTTCTTTCCCTTTTTCTATTTTGAAATGCCCAGTGGTTGACAGTCCGATGAGAACAGCTGAAGGGCCGTCTTCTGTTGCAAGAAAAAAAAAAAAAAAAAAGAGAAAACGTCAGGAGTCCCCTCCGTATTGTGGTGGCGGACAGGTGCCTCAGGAACACTTCTATTACGATACCGTCAATCCCTCTGTCAGCGTGTGTACCTGGATGCCACACCATCCCGCTCATGAGGTTGCTCCTCGTTAACTGCTCAATCCATTTCGATGCTGAAAAGACCATTACGGTCTTTGGAAAACTTCCTTTCGAAATTATGTGACATAAGGAATCGACTGCAACAGAGAGCGTGCTGGACTTCCTTTCAAAAATATGTCACATAAGGATCGAGTGCAACAGAGAGGGGATTCCTGGCCCTGATTGACTGAATGGTAAACATGGCCAGCTGTTAATGAGAAGATCCAGAGTTCGACTCCTGCTCGACACTGAGGTTAAGGCCTACCCCCAACCTTTCTTTTACATAGAAAAGCGCAGCAGCAAGGACGGGGAGGGAAAATCCGCAAGAAGGTTAAGGCCTACCCCCAGCCTTTCTTTGATGTTGCTGTTGATGGGTGCTCCAAAACAATCGACGGTGAATTTGTCACTCTTCATATGCTGGATAGCTGGCTCGTGGTACACAAGAGTTCCAACCCATATCCTATTCTGTACAGTTTACGCCCGTAGGCACTTTGCACAGAATAATTGTTTTCCCAGGGTGTAGAACTCCGTGTCATGGATGAGGACATTGTACAGCTAAATCGAACCATCTTTCCGAGTCGCTCACTGCCAATAAGAGTTATGATGCTACCAACGAGCCTCGCTCAGTTGGTATACCCATGAACCTTTGAATTACAGACCCAAGTTTGAAGCCTCATGGACCTTGATGAATGCAATGGAAAACCAAAAAGAAGAAGAGTTATGAATCTATGATGGCAATGGACCACACAGATATACTTGCATTGTACGATGGAAAAACCCGTGGCATTTCGCTGTTGATTCTGTGTTGAATAATTTTATTCCGGACTCGTTTTGTTCCGTTGATTAAACTTGATTCGTGTGGTGTGTGAATAGATTTCTCAGAGCTTCTCGGTTCCTGGGGGTGAATATTCTTACATGGGAAGGCATCACCAGCGGTGCCGAAGCTGTTCGCGGATCCTTCCTGACAGCCAGAATGTCTCTCCATCGAGCGCGCTATCCGAGGAAGTGGAAACACAGAAGTCAGGGAGCAGTGGCGGCGATCCTAGTTGTGGCAGCCCCATTTGCGCTGCCCTGAATGCTGCCAGAAACTCCCTTGCGCCGTCAACGGCACAGCTCAGAGCATCGCTCTCAGCCCTACCCTCTGCATCAAACAGTTGTGCCGGTTATCTGAGTGCTACGTCCACGCTGCGACGAAATGAGAGCCGTCGATCTTGGCATGGACCAAGCAGTGGAGAGCGGGGCTCTGCGGCCGGCCCAAGCCGACTCAAAAGCAGCAGTGATGCCTCATCAGGAGAGCGAGCAAGTCATCATGGAAGCCCCGACAGCTTGACCGGGCCTGTGTGAGCTACTTGCAGGATGACTCAAAAGTACATGGAACATTGTTCGGGGTACTTTAACATAAGTGAGGAAAATGCATTCCTGGAATTGCTCTCCAACTCTGCGATGGCCTGTGGTGCGGGTGCGGACCTGATACTCGGCAAAATGACGCTGAAATGGACAGGTGGAAACTTCCAGAATGCACAGGATGGGTCAATATCTTCCCTCTGGATTTGGAGTCAGGGTGAGTATACCAAGGCACTTGAGATCACCATGTTGAAGGATCTCGGCAAAATGACGCTGTGAGGGCATACTCACACTAGGACTTTTTCACTTATTTATGGACACATTGGTGGTCAGATACGTCCGAGTAAAGCGCGATTACAGTCGGATACATTTGAGATTGTGCTAGTGTGAGTATCTGCTCTGACTTTGGGGGAAGAAGTGCTTTTCTTTGCGAAAACAGAGAATAGTGGCATATAGCAGTGGGTGGCGACTGTGTAATAAAAACACAGGACTCTGCCAAGCGGTAATACGATGTATAGAGTCTGACACCTGCGCGGTGCTGGAAGGTGAAAAGGAGCATGTAGTGTGCCCCATGCATGTTGGAAGAGCGGGGAAGTCTGCGCTTAAGAGTGTCGTGTGCCTGATGGCGACTTTTCTCTTCCACACACCCACTCCCTTGCGGTTTGCCATATGATTCAGTTATTTTGAGTGACTCAGCTTATTGCTAGGCAGGGAGTGGGTACATGGAAGAAGAAAGTCAGCATTTCCACCCTACAAGAGGAATCGGTAGAAAGAGTGGAGCGGATCCCAGATCCTTTGGAACATGCGATGTGGGGGTAAAAGAACAGTCGGCAACAAATAGAGAGGGTACGAATGGCATATCGGCAGGCACACTTTATGTGAATGTGGAAGTGCGCCTTGCGGCTAGCAGATCTGCCTCTTCAATGGAGAGAAATAGTGCCAGGGGCGTCCAGAGCAGAGATGTCGATCATCCGCTTGTTGAGGAGCAGATGTGCTATATCGTTTGGAAAGAAGATTGAGTGTGCAGCCATTGCAGGTGAAAAGCTGAGCGCAAAGCTGGTTCTTTATGTGAATGCTACTCAGTGCCCAATCAGTTAATAACCTGAATTCTTCTGAGTTACTTGGGGTTGGCCGCTTCAATGATGAAATCTCAAGGCCATTGCTTTTTTGAAAAAAGAGAGAGGCCGTCGCTCTTTTGAAAAAAGAGAGAGACTCTAAAAGAGGAAAAAAAAGTACCTGAGATTGCCTGTGATCGGTGAAAATAAAAGACAGTTGTGAGACGGCAACAGCCATGTGCCGATGCGATTCGGGATGAGGAGGTTGAGACAGAGCGCACAACCGAGGCAGGGTTCACCTCACGTATGTCAAGAATTTATCGGGACGGGATTGCACTTTTGCTGACACAGTCTCCATTTAGAAGAGAGGCTTATTTGGTAGATTTCACGAGTAATCCAAATCATCTGGCAGGGACAAGGGAGAATGCAGAACCATGTTCAGGCCTAAAGAGAACATGGTACGGAGGGCGCTTGTGTGGGGGGTTTGACATGAGTGCCAGTGAACAGGCAGGCGGTGGAGTCCTGCTGTTGCATATGGAAGGTAGTAATAAGGATGATCCTCACGAAAGCGGATTGATCTAAAAGTCAAAGAAGGGGCAGACAGAACAGTGAGCATTGTTCCTGTTCCAGCGGGAAGCACGGAGCACTGCTGTTGTGTATGGACGGTAGCCCACTCGATTGTTTGAAAGGCACAGAGAACGGCTGTTGTCAACGGAAATTGGGGGCGGTCATTCCTTACGTTCTACAACTTCATTATGAAGATTCACCGACGGTTCATTGTGAAGAGTCTGCTGCTAGGCATCTGCAACTAATTAACACACCTTTGGGGTCAGCCACAGCTAAGTTCTTCCTGCACTGATCCACTTTGAATTTGATGGACATGAAGCATGTCAAGAGTATGTTATGTTAGGGTAAAGCTCGGTGATTGAATGCTCCGCAACGTGCAGGGAAAGGTATATGGGCACTTCTCAAACTGGAGGCCGATATCATTGAGCTCTCTTGTCCATCCATCAGTACCTGGATGCAGTCTCGTAAATCCGATGCTGAGTATCACTGTTTTGTTCAACATTTGTATAATCATGTAGCTCATGATGTTAGGCAACTAGATGACCTTAGTTCATAAAATTACGTTGAGAAGGGAAGAGGGGCCCTGAGAGTGAGGGAAAGGCTTGATAGAGGAACGGGATGCACAGAGTGTGTGTGTGTGTGTGTGTGTGTGTGTGTGTGTGTGTGTGTGTGTGTGAGAGAGAGAGAGAGAGAGAGAGAGAGAGAGAGAGAGAGAGAG